GGGATCTTGTTGGCTAATACTGGGTGGAGGGAGGGGAAGCCTGGGATCGGAATTCAACTTGGATCTCGTTTGGGACAGGTGTTAGGGTTGCATTCAGGACTGGGTAGAGACCAAGGGGGGGGGCGCTGCTGGGAGCGGAGTCATGTGGTAGGGGGCCACCGCCGAGGTGGAACTAAATTACTGGTTGGGATAGGGGCAGGGCCGAGTTTGTAGAGTGAGAGAGACTGGATCTGGCCTGGGGGCGAACTAAGATTAGAGTGGAGCAGTTCAAAGTGGGACCCWGCGCGGCCTGGGGGAGGAGCCAGGCCCCGAGGCGAGGCGGGGGCGGGACCAGCCAGAATTGCAGGCGGATCCAGGTCGGGAGGCGGGTCAAGCCAGAATTCTGGGCGGGGCCTCACACATCGAAGCGCAGATTTTGCTTTTCTTCAAAGAAATAGTCGAGGACGAATTTGCGCACGAAGTCTGGATTCAGCGTGTTGTCAATCACCTCCGTCCGTCCGAACTGGGCGGGGGTATAGAGGATCAGCCCGGGGTGCGCCGGGGGACAGGAAAGGCTCTGGGCTGAAAGGGGGCTGTTGGACTCACCTCCCGCCACTCCTGGCTGGCCCGAGTCTGGGTGTAAAGCACCACCACTGCGGGTGGGGGCGGAAGACGGAAGGACATCAGGTCGGCCCGCACCCCTCCCACCCCTCCGCTGCCCCCACCTGCCCCCTGAGTCACACCCGGATCCCAAGTTTCCCCTCCCAGTCTTGGAGCCTTACTGGGGTCGGACTTGGAGAAGGTGTCGAGGTCTAGCAGATTCCTAGAGAAAAGCGATAGACAGACCGACAGAGGGTGAATCATTCTGAAGCCCACCGCCTGGACACTGCCCCGAGTCGGGCATCCGGAGGAGGCATGGGGCTCCAGTCGCACCCACCTCCTCCGTTACTACACCTCAGTGTGTTGCGGGGATGGGGGTGGGGTGGGGGTCGTCAGCGCTGTCAGCACTCTGGACAGCACCAGAAACCTCTGCCCAGGAACCAAACCTCTGCGAACTAGATGCATACGTGCCCACATTGTCTCCAAGAACCCAGAAAAGGGGATTCACCCCAAAACTTTGTCCTCCTGGGGCCCAGCTCCTACCGGATCCCAACGACCCACCCGTTGAGCCAGTCAGTAGACTGAGCCCTCTTGTGGGGTGGGGTTGCCCAAGGAGAGCCCTCCTCGATCCTGCTAGCGACTCCCATCTTCAGCCGTGATCCTATAGTCCCCTTGCCTCTCCCCCCAGAGTCTAGCCTCTATTTGCGCTGAGACCCACAGCTGGGGCAGTGCCAGTGCCTAAGCCTCCCCAGCGCGGCCCGCTCACCGGCAGGACACCGTAATTTCAATCTTGGTGGCTGGGACGCTGCGCTCGGTGGCTCCTCCGAGAGACATGGCCGGTCTTGTGGCCGGAGCCGCGGGAGGCTGTAAGACCCCAGCCGCCGGGGCTAGGGGCGGCGGCGACAGCGGCGAGGCCGGCCCATGTGCCGCCGCAGCGGCGGCGACGGCGGCGACTGCACTCCTTCCAGCACTGCGTGCGCTCCCGCCGCTTGCTCCCTGACAGTGGCCGCCGGCAGCAGTGGCTCCAGATGGCAGCACAGCCCCGCCCGGCCCTGCGGGCGGCCCTCGCCCCATTGGAGCAGACGGGAGCTGGCCGGGAAAATTACCTAGACCCCACTTGCAACCTACACTTTAGGAGACTTGCCTCTCTAGGATGCTGAAACCCAAGCCCCCCGGAACTGTCCGTGATTCTGAACTATTTGGGGTAACTGGTGGGTGTTGGGGTCTTCGTCTCTTCCTGAGTTTCTCCCTCAACAAACTGTATGTCCCTCTCCCTAATCCTGGCTTAACTAGGTCTCTGAATATGAAAAGTTACATTTTTTCTTATTAGCTGTGTGACCTTGGGGAAGTTGCTCAACATCTCTATGGCTTGGTCTCATTGATGGAAGAAAGGTCATAATAGCAGTTACTTGGGGGACTGTAAAATTTTATCTAGATAACCCAAGGGAAGGATTTGGCACAGAGAAAGTGCTCAATAAATGTTCACTGGGGGGCTGGGTTGTAGCTCAGTGGTGGAGTGCTTGCCTGGCACATGTGAAGCACTGGGTTCGATTCTCAGCAGCACATAAAAATAAATAAAATAAAGGTTTAAATAAATAAATGTGCACTGGTATTACTTGACATTTGAATACTCACACTGATGACCTCTTTCGTGTTAGGAGTCAGATCAGAGGGCTGGGGTGAAGTTCAGATGTGGCACGCTTGCCAAGCATGTGCCAGGCCGTGGATTCCATCCCAGCACCACAAAAAAATAAATAAATAAATAAAAAGGAGAGAGATCAGGAAATGGTGACTTTTAAAAGACTGTACGAACCCTCTGCTCATGCCTTTGAATCCTCTTGATACTGTCATGATGCAGTCTACTCCAGCCCACATATAAAGGAGGGTAGTGGTCACTCAGGCCCTCCCTCACTGGACATGTACACCAAGTGCTGCTTCCAGAACCCAAGAAGCCAGACCCTCCATCAAGGGCAGCTCCTTGGAGCAGGGGCTGTACCAGGCCACGCTGCCTCAGACCTTCTAAAAGATGAAGACCTCCAATCCCAGCAACCTTACGGCTAAACCTCAGCAGCTCTGGAGTCTGTGCAGACAAATTGGCTCCCCAAGGACCCAGGGTCCACTCAAGCCTGTGAACCACTTCTCCCACTTCAGCTGGGGAGCGCAGGCCCTACTACTGCAGCTCAAGAGTYAGGGGCACAAGAAAGGAGGGAGTGCTCCTTTTTAGGTGGGCCTGGGGGACTCTCTCCCACTCCTGAGTCCATAAAAGGGGAAGCTGTAGGAGAAAATCAGTGTCGAGGCTGCACCCAGCAAAGGTCACTGCTTTGTCTGCTCTGGAATGGGCACCTCACATGGCATCCATCATCCTGGCAGTTTTAGTCAGCTTTTTCATCCCTGTGACCAAAAGACCCAATAAGAACAATTAGAGAAGGAAGTTTATTTGGTACTCACAGTTTCAGAGATTTCGGTCCATGCCCAGATTCCAACATTGTCTCACACATGAGCTTTTGGGAGACATCTCATATCTAAACCATAAAACTGGTGTCAAGTTGAGCCAATGTTTATATGACAATGCTCTGATAAGACCTGGAGACTGGGCTGAAATGTCTCCATTGATCTACTACTGCAGGAAAGGAGAGCCACCAGGGAGTGGCACCTGAAGAGCCTAAGCTTACTCAAGCCAATTGCTTTTACTCCTAGATGCTGGAGGAGCTGATACCAGGAGTCAGAGGCACCAACATCTGTAAAGAAGTCATGTTCCATGCTGCACAGGAGGTGAGTCTGTCCATCCACACATTTGATTTCAAGTAGCCATGGAGGGCATCCTTGTTGGGACTACCAAAAAGCACAAGAATCTATCCAAAGAGCAGGTGGTCACTGTTCATGAGTTGGCATCCTTGGCTGCTGGAGCACATGGAGGCTGTGGTGAACGCAGGTGCAGGCCCCAGCACCACAGGACTGGGAAACACCAGCTTGGGAAACACCTCATGTGTTAGCTTCATGAAGGAAGAGCCTGCAACAGCCATGATCCAGGCTCCACACAACAGCAGAAGCTAGGATGCCCAAGGCAAGAGTGAGTTGTCTTATATCTAAGCTGAGGCTTAGGTGTGACTCAGAAAGTCACAACATGGCTTGGGACCACTATCCCCATCCACCCTTACAGTGAAGGGCTTCGTTCACTGTGGCTCTAAAGTGACTGACATGAATGCGAGCAGAGTGTACATGTTGGAAACCTTTTGTGGAGAGTCATGAGCTTGATGAGAACTTATTGCAATTACCGGGATGGAACCCAGAAGTGCTTTAACACTGTGCCACAGCCCCATCCTTTTTATTTTTTTGCGACAGGGTCTAAGTTGCTTAGGGACTTCTGGCTTTGAACTTGTGATCCTCCTGGCTCAGCCTTCTGAGCTGCTAGACATGTGCCACTGCACTGTGCCAACCGGTGGTATTATAAGGAGCTTCGAGAAAGTGAGTGGATCATGACTGTAGATTGTTGTTGAGTGACCAACAAGGAAGCTGTGACTATTGGGAAGTGGGTGCCCATTCTCAGTTGAGGGCATGGCTTCCAATTGTACCCTCCAGGAGGACTGTGTGGCACTGAAACAAGTGGTAGGAGCCTGTGGAGGTGCACCTTGAAATGGTAGCTACTCTGTGCTCCACCCTCATTTCACACTGCAGAAAAGTAAACTCTGCAGTCAAGGGCCAGCTGCCCCACCAGGGGGTTAGTCTCTCTGCATTTTTTAAAAAATATTTTTTTAGTTGTTGATAGACCTTTATTTATTCATTCATTTATATGCAGTGCTGAGAATCGAACCCAATGTCTTACACATGTGAGACAAGTGCTCTACCACTGAGGCATGACCCCAGCCCTCTCTTGCTGCTTTCATAGTTCACGTTGCAAAGCAGATTGTTAGTTGCTCATGTCTGAGGAGCAAGACAGACCTTTTATATGCTCGTAAGATTGCTATAAGGACAACCCTGTGGGACTTGGTCCTACATGATGTATGCAGTGGTGTTTGGTGTATTCAGCAGTCACTCGGAAGAGAGGACAGGCCCAGCATGGGGCAAGCAGGACACTAATGAAATCAGCAATGAACATAAATATTTAAGAAATTGTAATTAAGATGGGCATGATGGCACATGCCTGTAATCCCAGCTACTTGGGAGGCTAAGGCAGGAGGATCTCAAGTTCAAGGCCAGCCTCAGCTGAGACCCTGTCTGAGACCTCAGCTGTCCTYAGTGAGACCCTGTCTCAAAATCTTAAAAATGGCTAGCTGTGGTACTCAATGACAAAGCACCCCTGGGTTCAATCCCCAGTATTGCCAAAATGTAAAAATAATAATTAATGTAAAAAAAATCCATGACGAACCTATGTTAGAATTTTAAATTTCATTTTGTTCTCAGAATTCTCACTTTATTTGATGGCTACAAGTGAGGGAAGACTAGTCACTTGCTGATCTTGTTGTCAGCGCTGTTACAGGCATAGCCTGTTATCATAGCCATTAAACTGTCATTTAACTTGGTTAAAAAAGATGATTTAAGGGTACATCCAAGTTTTTAGTTCCCCTCTTTYTCCACCTGGCCCCCCTCCATTCTACATGAGGTGTTTCTCTACACTGAGAACATTCCCAACAACTCTACAAAGAGAGCAACYGGAAGAGGATGCAAGACAAGGGCTGTTCAAAGACTCTGATTTTATTTTGTGATCTGTGTCAAACAGCCTCATTCTCAGTGCAGGTGGCCCCTCCTCCCCAGGGGACAACTTAGGGTGGTATCCCCTATGAAGTCATGGCCTCCACAGGCCCCAGGGAGACCCACGCAGTTCCGAGAGTTGATGGGAATTCTGGCCAAGACCCGGTGGGTGGGAGGCAGTGACTAGATGGGGTGGTGGTCATGTCAGGTAGCTGAGAGCTGGAAAACCCTGTCCTTGGCCCTGCTCAGTTTTGGGACTGCTGTGCATGTGATGGAGAGGGGGTGTGAGATTTTCTCCCAACCTCACAGGACCCCTTGGCCAGGCATGGCTTTGATTCCACTAAGGGCTCAGCTGAGAGAGGAGCAGGAAACGTGTGGGCTGGCTGCTTCACAGGGTGTTGGTGCTGGTGCCCCGCAGTCCCACACCACGGGCAAACTGTTCCAGCAGGCCCCCAATGGCCCCAGAGGGACTGGGGGCTGCTGCCCGAAGCCCCACTGTGCTGCTGTATGCGGCCAAGAAGGCTGAACGCACCTCCTGCAGCCGCGTCTCCCGGGCACTCAGAGCTGCAAGCCTATGGGGAAGGAGGGACAGAAAATGAATGTATTACCCCAGGACAGGACCCAACGTCCTCATTCTCTCTCCACATGGCCTATCCTTGAGCTTCCGACTGTACAGAGCCAGGATCTACCCCATGGTCATGTTACCCTTGTGGTTCAGGCTCCAAATATCTGGTGCTGGTTCCTTTAGCCATTCTTCTCACTTTGAGGTTCTCTTCCCACCTTAGAGCAGCATCTTTTATTGGAGCACTGACCTGGGCTTTCTGCTGGAAAAATAACTGTCCCTGTGTTGACTGTGATCAGAGAGAAGCTGAGTTTCACAGCTCTTGGCTTCTATTCCTTGGAAAGAACAGGTGAGACATAGCCTTACACCTGGCAGGAAGGAGATCCCCAGGATATGGCAGCAGGCCTCAGCCCTCCTGAGGCAAGGATCTGACACACCCTGGGAAAACTTGCTGGCTACCCTGGCTGGGACAGGGTCTCCCACTAGAAACACCTAGACCCTAGCTATATCTTTAGTCCCTGTGGCCCCTCACACACTGCTGGAAGAACACCTACTTTTCCARCACTCTGCTCTAATTCCATCTCTTTCTTCTCCCCTGGCCACCTGGGGCACTGATCACAGATGGAAGATAGAAAGCCCTTCTCTCTTTGCCCTGGGATTACAGGTCAAGAAGGGAAACAGTACACAGAAATGGGGATTTATCAAAGTGTGAGTTCCTTGGAGGCTGTCTGACATTCTGAAGGGTCAGTCTTTAATAGAAGGGGTCCAAGATATGAACCATACCCAATCTCTGGACTCAAAGCCAGGCACCTAAATTTGTTCTCCAGGAGTCACACACCTACATGACATGGACCTATCTTACCTCAGCACTTACTCCTAATTTCTTCCCAAKAAACCAATTCCTGGGCAATCCCTCCCTGGGAACCAGTCAGAGGCAGCAGCAATGTCCCCAGTTCTGAAGCCCAAAAGACTTGTACCCCAGGGCTTGGGGGAACAGATGGAGGTCTGAATAAATGACAGTATGGGGAGGACAAAAGGATCCTAGAGAAATACACTGGTAGGAGTTATGTGTGAGAGAAGCAGCAGGCTATGGGGCCTGGGAAAGTCACACAGCTCTTGCRGGAGCACTGAGAAATGAGCCAATGCTGGATTCCTGCACGCTGCGAGCAACACTGACGAACCTGAGGGCACCTGACCTTTTTATTTTTTTTTTTTCAGGACTGGGGATGGAACCCAGGGCCTCATGTATGCTAGGCAAGTGCTCTGCCACTGAGCTGACCCCCATCCCCATACCTTTATTTTCTAGTCATGTTTCACAGCTGGAGGACACGTGTGTCCCCTCAGCTGCTCCTTATGGCGTAAGTGGAGAAATAGACTAGTTTGTCTTCACAAAGAATATCTGAAGGTCCACACATATGCACTCTCACTGCCCCCCCACTTCTGGGAAGTAGAAGGGACAGAGGCCAACCTATTTAGAGACAAGAAAAGTGGAGCCCAGARAAGATACATGACTGGCTTGGGGATACATCACAGGCCATGGTGCTAGCGCAGCACCATTCCTCAAGAGCTGGGCTGATGGGCTCAGAGAAGTCAAGGCCAAGACCTCAAGACACAGCTGGTGAGCATAGCAACTAGTTTCTCTGTGAACAAAGCCCAAGTCACTGAACCCACATACTATGCGACTTTGCTGCCAGGAGCTGCTCTGGAACCCAACCAAGGATCCTGGAGGCCTTAGAGATCAAGCGGGGTCTAGCTGTCCTCTAGGAACTTCCTAGAATTGGCAGGTTGGCTGGAGCTCAAGAGTACAGCCTGAGGCCTGATCTGCAGGTATGGGCTGGGTACTTGGGGCTGGGGTTGGAGCTGCCTGACTCAGTGGGTAAGCCCTGGGAATTTCGGGGTGCAATCAAGCAGAGCAGGCAGGGCTTCCTCCAAAGATGGCGCTGCGGTCAGCTGGGCTGAAGAGGAAGTCCTTACAGAAATAGGCAAATATTTTTTTTATCCTTCAGAAACCTAACAGAACTTGCTTCTAGCCTAGGGGCCTGGCTGCAGAGGAAGCTGAATGCCTAGTGGCCTTGGAAGCCCTTCAGTGACTTCTCAGCTTCAGGGCCAGGACAGGGGAATGCCATTCTGGAATTACAAAGTCTGGCTGGCTTATGTCAGACTGAAGCTGGGATCCCACGCTCCTCCTCCTTTCCAACTCCTCTAGCCTGCCAGCATGGGAGGGCAGAGTTGAATTCTGGTACTTATGGTAGGGTGAGCCCCTAGCACCTGGAATGGAGGAGAGGGATAGGCTTTCTGAGGAACCCCCAGGGAGGCCACATCTGAGGAGCAGGCCCTGCTCCCCAGGGCACCAGAGGCTGTCTCCTGCCTGATATCCATGAAGTCGCAGAGCAGGAAGGGGTCAGGGGGTTCCCCCAAAACAGCTGTTAAAGTCTGAGGGCTGCATTACAAGAGTGAGAAGCCCAGTATTGGAGCCCTCAAAGAAGAGCGTTTCACAAGCTGGGGATCTATTTCCCATTTAATCCTCTTTCTTGCCCAGAGGCAGAAGTGGAAGACAAGGTGGGGGGGCAGTGGATAGCAAGCAGCCTTTGGTTCTGCCTAGAGGAGCATAGACCAGGCTGACCCAGTGCCATTCTGGCTCTGCCTCCAGCATACACCTACCTTCCTGCCCCACTGTTCTGCTTTCAAAGGATGTGCATGTCAGATGAAGCTTTGGACAGAAATAGAACCTGCCATAGTCACAGTCCAGCCAGCTTTCCCTCAGGGTGCACCCGACACACCCATGGATGGGTTCTGGTGGCTGGGAAGAGTGAACAGGAACCCAATGCACTTCCTTAGCAGCCCATGGGCCTCCTTTACACCTGGGGTCTGTAGCTGCAAATGGGGAGGGGCAGGGACCCAGCCAACTCCCTGGCTGGCCTTCGCCTCACTCTTAAGCAGCACTCCTGACTGCTCCCCAGCTTCTGATACAGGCAGGGAAGCATCCTGCCTCAAGCAAGACACTTACAGACAACTGTTAGGGAGCTCATCCGGGAAGCTGAAAGGGAGAGAGGAGTCTGTGTGCAGGACAGCCCGTTCCTGAATACTGCCACAGCCCGTTACCATCTGCCAGCTGCCAAAGTCTGTGGAGAGAGAGGATCCGGGCAGGGGATGGTCCACTGATCTGGGGCAGAGAGGAGAGAGAGGGGAGATGATGCAGTCAGTCATATGCCTCAGAGAGAGGCCCTGGTGGGAGGGGGCTGGTGTCCTGGGCCACAGCTGCAGGGATCTGTTGGAGTGTCCAAAAGCCAACCACTGTCTCCAAAAGAACAAACAAAGCTGGATAAGTAGTGACCAAGAAAGAAGCGCAGATTGTAAGGCAGGATTGGCTGTGCGCACAGTGCATTCTGAAGACTTCCAGAGGCAAAAGAACCAGAGCAAAGCATGGGGAGAGGTGAGCTGGATCCAGAGCCAGGGTGGATACCTGCCTGGGCCCAGATAGCAAGCAGTCTCAATAGCACCAAGAGGAAGGGAGCAAGGCTGGTCCCCCAGGAAACAAGGGAAGCAGGGGCCCACCACTCTGACATGCAGATTTACAAGGGGGCAACACAGAACCCAGAGCTGCCGAGATCTGATGAGGGAAGAGGGAGAACAGGCCTCATGGGGACTGTGGAGGGTGGTGACCTAGATTCAARAGAGGCTGGGAGTCCTGAGGTACCCCCTTCCTGTGCAGTGCCTTCTGGGAGCCATGGTTTGTATTCAGAAGCATCAACCCAGCAAACTCACTGGCTATGCCCAGAGGGCAAGGTGAATCAGGGAGGCACCCTGACTGCTTCATCAGAACTGTTTCTAATGGAGGCTGAGAGGACAAAGTCGTGCCCCCAATGGCACCTTCCCTCAATCCCAGACAACCCAACTCCTCTGTCCTGGGTGTGGTGGGGTCAGAGAGGAAGACATCAGCCCTGCCTTTCCATCAGCTACCCCAGCTCCTGGAACCCAGAGGGACATCCTATTTGATGCTCGACCCTTTATTCTTTAACTCAAGAAAAGTGGAAAGCGCTCCTGCAGGGACCCACTGAGAGGCCAAAGCACACACTGTGGTAGGGGCTGGGGACCTTGGCCTACAGAGCTGGCTGGCATTGAGAGTGGCAGCCCCCACTAGTCCTTGGGCTAGCCTTACCCCCAAGAAACTGCCACCTGAGTGCAGCTCTGGACATATTTAACCATCTCCTTACAGCTGGGGAAATAGCAGCCTAGACAGATTAAGACACTTGCCCAGGGTCCCACAGCTAGTAAGTGCAAGAGATTTTTTTTGATTGCAGATTTGTCCTGAAACAGAACCACCTTGAGAGGAACAAGAACAGATGGCTTTTTACGTTAAAGCTGCCACGAGTCAGAACCCCCAGCAACATACAGACTTGCAACATTCATCATTCCAGTGACAATCCAGACGTGTGTGATGGCACCATTAGGAAAGAGCATGGGACAGGCTGTTACCTGATTTGAGCCCCTGGGGCCTGACAGAGCAGGGTTTCCTTGTTTCTAGATGGAGAAGCCTAGCGGGGTGTAGGCAGTCTGTAAATCAAGGAGAAGCCTCCCGGGAAGAGCCTGCCTTAGGCTTCCTCCAGGCCACCAGGGCCTCTGGCCAGGGCAACCCCTCTTGAGGCACTGCCTGGCTCATCAGTCTCATCTATCATTCAAACTGTAGGTAGAATGTCTTTTCCAGTTTCAGCAGCTTGTGAGAAAATAGTCTCTAGCAACCAGTGTGGAGGGAAAGGAAGGGCTGCTGACTAGGGGAAGCCGGGGGAGGACACGGTGCTCCAGAGGCAGGGAACCCGGGGACACTTCTTCTGCCCCTCCCCACAGGCTTTCAAGAACAAACTGCCCAAGGGGATCCACAGTCACCAGGATATGGTTAGCCAGGTTCCCTCTGAGGACTCCTGGCCCCAGGTTAGTCACTTCCCTTTGCTTCCCCAGTGTCCCAGCAGCAACACAGGGAAGAAGCCAACTGGAACCAGACAACTGGTTAGCATAGGCAGCAGAGGGTGTGTGACCCCACGGGACCCAGTGGCTCTCAGAGAGCAGTCACCTTTGGTAGATATTGACATTTTTCAAGAATGAACTCAGCTTCCAGAATAATCTTCCTATTTGAGGCTTTTGTCAAAGAATGGTGGCAGAGTGACCAATCAGCTCCTGGATTTGAGAGCAAGAGGCTATGCTGAGCAGGAGTGCTCAAAAGGACATCTGGGAGCTGGAGTTGTGGCTCGGTAGTACAGCGCTGGCCTAGCATATGTGAGGCACTGGGTTTGATTCTCATCACCACGTATAAATAAATGAACAAAATAAGGGCCCATCAATGTTTAAAACAATATTAAAAAAAAAAAAAGACATCTGGATCAGCTAGCAAGTGGGGACATTGTGGGATACTGGAAATAGTCACCGGAGGAGAGACACCACTTTCATATTGGAAGGGAGGAGCATACAGGTTAACTCTGCCAACTTTACTGAGACCCCAGGCTCTTCTGCCCTGTGCTCCTAAGCCAGTGGGCAATGGCTCTGCCTCCTCCTCTCTCCTACTCCAGGTCTATAAAGAACATGTGACTGAGCAACCCTCAAATGGGGGTAGGGATGGCAATGGTACTAGAGAAAGCATCTGCCCACATCCTAGGGGCTCAAAACTGCCCAGGAGGGTGGCTGCTGGCAATACTGCCTTCCCTTAGCTGGATACAGTCCTGGGCTCTTTTTCAGTGTGCAGAGAGCTTTAGCTCCTCACCTCCTGCCAGAAGCCCTGCAGAAGGCTACTTACAGCAGGTGTCTTATGCCTGTCCTTCAGGAAAGAGGTCCAAGAACATGGATATGAGCAGAGCAGGCCAAACCCATGTGAGAAGGGGGTCTGGGTGGAGGCCTTGCTTTGCCTTTCACCCAGCTGCCCAATGCCCTGACATGGATCAGGCTTTCAGATTCATGACCAAAGAGTATTTGTCTTTAACTACAGCTAGTATACCAGACATTTGTGGAAAGGTAAGTATTTACTATATGTAAGATGCTTCACTCCATTATCTCATTTAACCCAAACTTACAGGGACCAGGATCATTATTCCTACTTTAAAAATGGAATTAAACAAACAAACAAAAAAATGTGAACTCAGAAGGGAAGTGAGTTTTTCCAAGTTACACAGCAGGGAAGGGGAAAACTGATTGCAATCAGGTGTGACCAAAGTCCATCCTAGGCAATATTACTGACCTTCCTTCTTAATAAAGTGCAGGGCCTCAAGAACTGGCTGAGGGATGGTTGCACTGCCCCTAACTGAAGTAAAGCACAGAGCTTTTAATCCATGTTTAGAAAAAGACCCTGAGAAAAGATCTGAGAAAGGAAGCTAGGCATTGTCCTAGGAGGTGCTGGGAGCCATACTGTGGTTATGAAGGAAGATGGCCAGAGGACAAGCTGGAATGTGAAGGAGGCAAGGGAAGGAACCACAGGGAAATGGAGCAGGAACCTTGATAAAGCTGAATCTGATGGCTGCATTTCCACTGGACTTTTCCATGTGTTTCCTTTATTTTTAAACTATTTGGGATGTTTTCTATTACTATTACTAGTTTTCTATTACTTGCATCTGAACGCATCAGAACTGAAAAGACTGCCATAGAAGGCCTGAAGGTACACAGCTAGGAAGCACCTTGGAGTTGCCTATTCTAAGCCTTTRATTACGTAGATGAAAAAATAAAAATTCAAAGTCATCAAGTGACATGTCTAAAGTCATGAAGGGAATTTGTGTTTGAATCAACTCCTGCAATCCTAGGCTTTGAGGGAGCCTATGTGTCATCTAATTAATTTATCCTCAACACCAATCTCCAAGTCTACCTTAGATGGTTCCTGATGAGGGCCCCACAACCACTCTGCCCATCAGGAATGGGGCCTCCCCCAGCCTGGCCTTATAAACACTRCATCTGGATCCCCACCAAGGACTTCTATATTCCTGTGGCAGCCTCAGAGAAGTCTTTTGGGGCCCCAAGTTTTCTCTTCTAAGTCTCAAKCTTGGACTGCCTTTAGGCTTCTCATCATTCCAGTCAGATCTGGAGCAGTAGCCCCAGGCAAGAGCAGTCAGATTGGAGCTGGAACTCAGGTGTGGCAGAGAGTAGCCTGGCTTCTCTGCCTCATAAAGACAGTGGTGCACACCAATAAACCTAGCTACTTGGGAGGCTGAGGCAGGAGGATCACAAGTTCAAGACAACTTAGTGAGATCCTGTCTCATAATTAACTACACCACAGTGAATCTATCCATCATGTACATCCACGAGACTGGGGTCCTAATTAGAATAAAATATATTCTTTGCTTGTATAATTATATCAAAATGGACTCCACTGTCAGGTATAACTACAAAGAATTAATAAAAAAATCAGCTAAATACAGACAGTCTGGAACAGAGGTCACTGTTTACAATGAGAAGCTGGCAGGGGACAGTGGCTGAGGGCAGCTAACTGGGTAGCTGAGGTTGATTCCTGTGTTGCCACTTAACTATTCAACCAGAATGGTGAGTGTCCCTCAGCCCAGTCCACATGCTCTCAGTCAGTGTGGCTTCACACTGGGCTCAGTGAGGGCACCATCCCTCCTCGGCATGGAAAACCCTGGCTAGCAACTGCCCTTCCCCCAAAGGACATCTGACACCAGCCATGCAGGGTTGCAGCAGGGTGACTTTTTGACCAGCGCTTGGGGAGGCATGTGAGCGTAGAGCATTAGTTTTGCACCTCCCTAGCCCTGTGGCTAATCTGCAGTGGCAGCTAATAATACCAAACGGCCACCAATTCTCCCAGTGATGGATGTGGAGTTGGCGCTTGAGAGGAATCAGCACCCCACGGAACTTTCCTCCCAACCATAAGACACCTATGACTTAAGGGAACAAAACCTCTCTGGCTCCTTTCTTAGGGCAGCCTGACTTTAAAAGACAGGCCTGGGGAATATGGAGCATATAAAAACCAGAGAATTCACATTGTGAGGGGAACAGCTTCAGCACAGGTTTCTTTCCATACAGCTCCTCCTSCCGCATTAAAGCCCTGATTGGTTACTGTTGCCTAAGAGGCACAAAAGCTAATGACAGGATCCCTCAGGCACTTCAAGATAAAAGAGACTAAATTAATTTTAATGTTAATAGAAATACATAATTAGAATGCTCCAAATCCAAATAATCTAGTCTTTCAAACCTCTGGCAAGGGGCTGGGGGTGTGGCTCAGAGGTAGAGCACTTGCCTAGCATACATGAGGCCCTGGGCTCTAGCCCCAGCACTGGGGAAAAAAWAAAACACCTCTAGCTAACAGACATTTAATTCAGAAGAACCCTGTTGCTTGGCCAGCCCCACCAAGCTCTAGGCAGCCACTCCCAGAATAGACCACAAAAGGATCAAATACCTCGCAACAGCCTGCCCCTCGCCTTTTAGAGCCTTGCGTGTACTTTGGTCCAGCCATGCTGGCCTTGGCCTGGCCCCACCGTGCAGAGTTATTAGGCCAGGTAGACACCCCAAACCCTCCTGAGCCTCCAGAGGGAGGGACCCTGGTGGCCACTAGACCACTAGTCTAAGAGTCTATCACATTCTASCTGGGTGTGATAGCACATTTCTATAACCCTAGTGACTTTGGAGGAGAGGYGGGAGGATGGCAAGTTCAAGGCCAGCCTCAGCAACTTAGCAAGACTGTCTCAAAATAAAAAGGGCTGGGGATGTGGTTCAGTGGTAAAGCATCCCTGTATTCAATCCCCAGTACCARAAACTAAAGTTCAAGTTACTCAATGCTGGAGATGACCACTCATGAGACTGAAGGAAACTGTCACAGTGTTGGAAAGTGGGATCCTTTGGCAGGAAGAAGGGGATGACAAAAAGTTGAGGTGTGGGAATGGTGCTGAAGGACTCCTTGTAGAGGGGAGTTAGGACTGGGGTGGGAGCCAGATGCTAAGAGAAAGCTCCTGGTCTCCTCCCCAGTTGTCCAATAACCCTATACAGGCAGAAATGGAGTTAGGGACCATGAGCAAGAGCTGTAGCCTGGAACAAGGACCCCACAGTGCCACCACGGCCCCAGAACAGCTTTGAGGGCAGACATGGGGGCATGCAACAGGCACACATGCCAACTCCACACACAGGATATAAGCAGGCACCCAGCTGCAGCCACCACACCTCCTGTGGGGCAGAAGGCTGTGGTCCTGCTCAAACMGACTGAGCTCTGGCACTTGCAGACAGTGTCCTGAGTAGAAGGGCTCTCCTGCAGGGGTGAGTGCTCAGTAGGAGCAGTCAGGGCCTCCACCTTGCTTGGAACTCACCAGCTGCCTCCATGTGAAGGCTGCTCTTCCTCTACTGCCTACTTTTGTCCAAAAGCACCCAGAGAGTGGTGATGGGAGGAGGGTTTCAGAAGTTTTAAGATGATTTTCACTGTAATAGGCCTGTTATCAAGGAGGAAACTGAGTCCCCAAATCACATGTACATTAAGTGGCACAGAAGGACCTGAATCTGAGATAGACTTCAAAGCTTAGGCCCGTTCTTCTAAAAGTCCCTTTCAACTGGATTTTTTTTTTTTTTTTTTGTAATGGAGATTGAACCCAGGGTTGCTTAACCACTGAGCCACATCCCCAGTCCCCACTCACCCCTAGTTTAGAATTTGTTTATTTTTATGTGGTGCTAAGGATCGATCCCAGTGCCTCAAACATGCTTGGCAAGTGCTCTATCACCGAGCCACAACCCTAGCTTCCCAGTCCTTTTTATATTATATTTTGAGGCAGGGTCTCACTAAGTTACTTAGGGTCTTGCTAAATTGTTGAGGCTGGCTTTGAACTCACACCCACCTCAACTGGAACTATTTGAGTTCTCTTAAGTCCACATTGCTTTTTTCTTTCCAGAACGGCTAGATATTCTCAAAGTTTTAGAAAGAAAAGCAATTGACAGACATAGTGGCACCTGCCTGTAATCCCAGTAACTCAGGCAGGAGGATCACAAGTTCAAAGCTAGCCTCTGCAACTTGGCAAGACTCTAAGCTTCTTAGGAAGACTCTTGCCTCAAAGTATAAAATAAAAAAAGGTTAGGGGATGTGAGGCAACCCAATGCCCTTCAATGGTAGAGCACCCTTRTGTTCAATTCCTAGTTTAAAACAAAAACAAAAGCAAAGCAATTCACAGCATTCTTTCCTTGGGGATACGAAATGAAAAATGTGGTTCAGAGTCAACTAGGGAATGCTCTCCCCAAGTGCCAGATCATTCCTCAATCCTAGGCCTTTGGCCCGGTGCTCAGATTCAACCTCTCAAGAAGCGCCAACCCCAGCAGAACACTCTGGCCATATCTCAGGTGCATTCACCCTGTCTGACTGAGCTGCTTCTTTTCTCAGATGTGTTTTATCACCTATGGCTAGTCAATGTTACACACTTCTAGTCCAGTTCCTAGCATTTGCTCTCTTCATTGCCCAACCAACTTGTAATGGAATGTGAGAGCCAGAAAGGACCTAGAGCATCCAGATCCATCTCTTCAGTCACAATGGGCAGTCCATAGCRGGTAGAATTTACCCAAGGGGATATGTGGAGGTAGCCCCAACTCCCTGTCTGTGTTATCCAACCACTATACTTTCTAGATTCCCCTGGATTTGAGACATGCTCCAGGAAGGTATCTCAAACCTCTCTATAAACCAGCCCTTGCTTTGTGCCCAGACACTAACACATTCTCCAAATACTACACCTGCCAAATTCTCCACATCCACTTCCCCAGTCTCTGAGGTCTACTGCCTGCAGGCCTCACACAGGAATCCCACCTAAGACACCAGCTCAAGTACCAGAAGCCCACCTCCGGGCTTGTTATGGGGAGGCTAGCCACCTCCACTAGCAGGGGCGTTGGGAGTGCCTCACCTGGGTTTGGGGACTTCCAGCGGACTGCTACCCATCCTGAAGAAGTTGTCAGAATGGTTTGAAGATGAGGAGCTGGAAGACTTGGCTTCAACCAGCCCCGGGTGGGAAGGCAGGCGGTCCTCGGAGGGCTGTGGCCGGTTCCAGAGCACACTCTGTGGAGAGGACGAGTGATTCTTCCTCCTGTGGCGGGAGAGTGGGGCTACTGGCCAAGGCACCCTGATACTGTTCCTGTGCCTGGGGCCTGCTTTCGTTATTCTAGGACAGTGCTGAAGGAATGGATACAAACAGGGCATTCCCTTAGGCTCAGGTGCACAGGCAACCAGAGCTAGGGCTTTACTGAGGGACCATGGTATTCAAATTACACTGGCCTACCAGTCTCAGAGAACATACCAGAAAATCATTCTTAACTAACAGCTCAGTGACTGCCTCTCTCCATCCCCGGAAATGCTATATAAAACCCTGAGCCACTTGTGTAGGAAAGGAATCACCAGGGTCTCAGATTCCTTCACAAAGAAGTGACCCTCATACAAATTCCCAGTTGATAAACATCACCTGCAATGGCATTTTACTTTTTTCCTAACACCCCCCCACCCCCAACACACACATGGTGCAGGATGCTCCTCTAGGGCCTGACACCAGCCTCCTACTCCTGCTGGCCACAGCTGCTTGGTCCCACAGGGAGCCCCTATGCTCTGGGGCCACCATAGGCAGTGCCCCTCACCAACCAGATGGCTGGCCTCTGAGGCCCAATATAGACAGCATGAGATGAAGCCGAGCTCTCAGGCCTCCTATCAGAGGCTCCTTTGTTCTTGGGACTCTAGCCTGGCTCCCTGGGGCTGGTGGCCCTGGCCACAGCTGTGAGTGATCCTGGTCCCAGTCTGGCCCCTCACCAAGCTGCCTGAGTCTGTGCTCCTGCTGGAATCAGCTCCATGGCCTCATAGGTGAAGCTCCCTGCGGCTCCTGGGGAGCTCTCCATGACTAGGGAGAAGTCACTGCCAAGGCTGGTGGTGCTGCCACGGTCCCTTCGTCCTGAAAAAAGCCAGTGCCACTGGTCAGTGTGTCATTTTCTCTTGCTACCAATCCCTCACCTCTTCCACCATTCAGCTGGACAAAGAAACTTCTAGAATGGTTCCTGTGTAGTCTATAATCAGAAAGCTGTGCTGAGGAAGGAAAAGCGGCTGGGCCAGGACTCACTCAGCATGCAGATGTCTTCCACAGTGAAGCCTGCGTCCCGGGCTGGCAAACTCTTCCTCCTGTGACAGAACCCAGAGCAGGGAACGCCAGCTCTAGCTGGGGTCTCTTCTTTCCCAACCCCACCCATCCTGAAAAGCAGCCAGAGTCCACGGACAACTCATGGAGTAGTCCTACCTACAGAGAGTTGTACCCTACCTGCTCTGTCTACCACACATTCCCCAGAGAGCATAGCTGGCCTCCTCTTAAATCTGCTTGGCCCTTGAGAGCTCAAGTCTGGCCCAACATACTAGAAGTTTGGATTAGGAAGGCAAATTAACTCAGAAGAGACATCAGCTCTCAAAGGGGCCTTAAAGCAATTGCCAGTCCATCTGCCTGTATTTCCCAGATCTCTGCCTCATTGTAGGCTCAGAGAGGCTCCTAATGCAGACTTCTGCCTCACTGTGGGCACAGAGAGTCTCCTGCAAAGGTCTGGGGCAGTGAAAATCAGCTCAGAGGCATGGGGAGTTAGGAGTCTGTCCCTAGGATGACTTTTCCCTACAGCAACTTAGTCACCAGAGGATATTCATCACCGCTAGTGTGACCCCAACATGCCCCCCCCCCCCCCCCCCCCCCCCCCCCCCCCCCCCCCCCCGTGGAAGACTTCTTCCTTCAGGGGCTGTCAGCAGGCACCCGACCCTGGCCTCAGAGGGAAGGCAGCCGGGTAGCAGCCTGCCAACACACAGGGAAGAAATAAGGCAGCGAGGGCCTCCTATGGTGGAACAGCGCTCCTCTGCTTACCTCTGAGTCTTCAGAGCAGAGAACTCCTCGGAGGTGATATGCTTCAAAAAATTGAAGCAGAAGAAGAAAATCTGAAGGGGAGACAAATAACAGCACTCAGTGAGAAGATGGCTATTCCCTGCAAGAAGTGTCGGGGTGGCAGATCTAACAGGAGTGGGCAGCGCACTGTCTCTGGTCAATCTTCCTGCTGGACAGTGGCCTACTTTAGGGATCCCAGTGGATACTCTGGTCTACAAGAGCTGTGGGGCAGGTGATAGAGGGGCTCAGGAGGGCTTGCCACATGCTTCTGGGCTGGTCTATGGCAGAAAGGAATATGTTCCCTTCCTGGGAGTGTGAAGAGTCAAGCCAGAGACTTCAAACTGTCCAGGAGGATGAGAGAACAGAATCTTTCCCTTCCTTACCTCTAGGAGCCTAAGGAGAAAGGCTGACAGGGAAGTTGATCTGGGGCAGGGGATTAATGGACACAGCAGGAACACAAGGGAAGGGAATGGATCCCATGGAATGGGGAGGTGCCCAGAAATAGGCTGGGATGACTGGTATGGGGACAGCCACGGAGTGGCCCACAGCCTGCCCTGTTGACRAGCTGTAAGGGTCAATTCTTAGGTTTCAGGCAGGTAAAGGCAAGGGTTTCATAGAACTTCCTCAAAGGCAGAAGGTTGTCAAGGTCAGACCAGTGTGAAAATGCTGTGTTACATAAAATTTAAAAAGTATTTTCACCAGATTCCACTGTCAGATGTGCTCTGTGAACATCAAAGGCAGTAGAGAGGACAACAGTGTCTCACAGGCCTGGAATTTTTGTTTGTTTTAAAGATTCAGTGTCTACAGGGTGTGGGGAGCTAAGAGATGGGGAGCTAAGAGAAAAGCCTACTCTGAAGACCAACCTCCCAGCTTAAGTGTCACTCCTGCTCAGAAGCCAAGGGTTTAAGCTCAGCCCTGTCTTTGCCCAAGTCTCTGAAGGCAGATTCAGGCTTGCTCTGGAGGGAGGAGGGAGATGACGTGGAGGACAGAACGTCCTGAAGTGCCGGCAAGGCAAAGTCCCTTAACGAGAGGGTACAAAGAGGCCTTCCACCCAGATTTCAATGCTGAAGTCACTGCCTCTGACAAAGTTCCTGGAGGCCTCTAAGGAACAGGCTTATGAGCTCTGCAGCCCTGGCAGATGCGATAAGTGCTCAGAAGAAGGGATTTGGAAGGGAGAGGAGCAGCTGAGAGGGAGGAACAAAAGAAGGAGGTGTGAGATAAGATGCCAAAAAGGAGAAAGGCTCAGGGTAAGAAAGATGCTTTAAGAAGATTGTAGGACAGGGGCAGAAGAGAAAGCACTAACCCTGTGGATGCTTCCATGCTGGGCATCTGGGTCTCTCAATGAGGCATAAGGAGACTCAAGGATAAACATGTTGCCCAAGGTCACCCAGGTAATAATCAAGACAAACAGGGCACACTGGTGTCTGGCTCCAGGTTTGCTACTGGGGAAACAAGCATGCTCAGTAGGAAAAGATGGTGGAAACAGAGGACGGAGGGAAAGAAGGTATTGAGGAGGAAGGACAGGAAGAGGACCTGCAGGAGGCCCCAGAAGTGAGGCTCCAGGCAGGACTGTGTGCTCAGACCACCTTGGGGATGAAAAGGAACGAGGTGGGTGTAATGGGATAAGGAAGGACAGAGCCAGGTATGGTGGCACACACCTGTAATCCAGGGACAGGGGCTTGGGAGGCGGAGGTAGGAGGATTGCAAATTCAAGGCCAGCCTCAACAATTTACCAAGGACCTAAGCAACTCAGCAAGACCCTGCCTTTAAATAAAATATAAAAAAGGGCTGGGGATGTGGCTCAGTAGTTAAGCACCCCTGGGTTCAATCCCTGGTACAAAAGGGGGGGGAAAAAAAGAAAGAAAAGGTGGGGTGGTAGGGGGGAGAGGGAGAGATAGGTAGACAGAGAGCTTGTTTTTCAGCTGGAAGGATGAGGAACAGGAAGAGGACTTGCATGTTGGTTTCAGAGCTAAGAGTAGAAAACAAGTAAACAGTGGAGAGAAGTGGCACCTGAAGGCCACATGGGGCTAACATAACGCTGGCAGAGCTGAGCACCCAGCATTTTCTCCACTGTGTGGGAGACCCCAGGACCAGTATGGAGGTGGGGGGCAGCCACTATGCTTTTGCTTTTTCCATGCTGCCTGAGGCATGGCCCATACAGTGTGGCATGCAAGCAGACTGTCATTCTGTCTCTTGTGTCAGCCCGGTTCCCTGCTCACAACCTCTGTACGGCACTCACCTCCTCTCCTTTGCTGAGCCGATCTACCAACATGTGCCTGAAAAAGGAAGTTAAAAAGTCAAAGGTAGCAGCACCAAGATGAGGGCTGAGGGGGACCTGGTCATCATGGACAGAACACATCTTTGACAACAGTGCACTGAGTGGGGCCCATGTGCATCTATAGCCCTTCTCCAAGGGACCCCTGTCATGGGAGATGCTGCATCACTCACTACAGAAAGAGTCACCGAGACACCATCCCACCCAAAGCCTCCAAGGATGTTCCTCCAAAGCTTACCCAAAGAGGAACCAGTCATAGGCCACAGTTAGGTAGAGGATCTCAGCAGGCTTCAGAGACGTGTGGATGAGCCCATCCTGGAAGATAGCATGTGGGCACAAGATCAGAACTGCCGTACGGTGATGAACCTCCTCAGCCGAGGAACAGACCCACAGTCACAGACCTGGTGACAATGCAGGATGACCAACAACCCTAAGACCAGGGCTAAATACAACACCTGCTGAGTGGGTCCCTCACCCCTGATCTTGCATCCTGGAGACAAATGTACACCAGGGCCTCTGAATACTCCCAGACCCCAGAGCCCAGCCCGTTCATACTCACAGCCCACAAGGAAAGGCGCAGGAGAGAGATGAAGAGGGGGGTCCGATCCCAGCCTGAGATACAGTGCACCAGCAGCCCGCTGTCATCTAATCAGACACCGTGGAACAGGAGCCCAGAAGAGAACCAGACAGGGGCTGATGAGAAGGGAATACCACCACACTGGCTAGGGGAGGGAGCCAGGCCACCAGAGCCATCTTCCCCAGGGGTCTCCCTAGTGCTTTTCCAAGGACTAGGCCTAGACAGGGACAGCTAGGGGATAGCTGTCCTGGTCTGCMACAGCCTTCTCCTGGCTGCAGTCCTTGGTGTGCCTCCAGGGAGGTATTCACCCTAGACAGTTCACACTGCCCAGGGAATTTGGGTAGTGCTGACTAYAGGTCCCTGCCCAGCATTTGGCGGGTGGACACAAGTACTTAGGGGGAGGCAGGAGCTTTTTTGTTCTTTTTCTTGGGAGAGATAAAGATAAACTCTTCATTGTGCAWGGCTATAGGAACTGTGGAGTACTCTGGACCAACACCCAGTTCCCCAAACTCTTTTTTTTTTTTTAAAGAGAGAGAATGAATTTTAATATTTTATTTTTTAGTTTTCGGCGGACACATGTCTTTGTTTGTATGTGGTGCTGAGGATGGAACCGGGGCCGCATGCATGCCAGGCGAGCGCGCTACTGCTTAAGCCACATCCCCAGCCCGCTCCCCAAACTCTTGAGACGACCTCCACAAGCCCTTTGAGGGATGGCACTGCCCCAGCCAGAGCCACTGCCCAGCTCCAGGGAACAGCATGAGACTTTTTCTTCCTTCTTTTCTAAATACACACCCYATCTGGGCACAGTGATCAAGTTCAAGCACGGCACTTGACCCAAACTGGACCAATGAGCATGTCTCTCCCCTCTGGGGAACTAAGGCAGCAGAAGAGTGTGGAATAGCTGCCAGCCGTGAAGCTAACGGGATGGTGATTTTGAGAAATGCAGAGAGAATCTTTATGATATTCATTAGACATCTGGCTCTGCTCACAGGCCTTCTCAGTTCCATGTGCCAATACGTTTCTACTCGTTCAGGCAGGAAGCAGAAGTCCTGATTGCTACCAAGGAAGTTAAGGGTTGKCTCTGGAGATGCTGAACAAAACAGGCTCACCCAACCGGTATCCCAAGAACAGGCCCTCCACAGGCTTAGGTGCACTGGATAAGCAGCCAGTACTTATTTGGGTATCTCAAGTCTTGTCCTTTTGGATTAGAGGCCCATTCTAGCCTCAGACACAATCCAATGTGCACAATTCAAAGGCCACCTGAGCCAGTGCACTGCCTCATGTATGGCTCAGATGCTAATAAGATAATTTTGACTTCTAGGGTTTTAAGAACTAAGGATGCCAATGGACAAATCCCACCCAGCCTTGTGGGATTCTAGGGAACCCCCAAATCCCTCTCCCTCAATACAAATGGTGGGTTTGCAACTCTGAAAAATACTCCAGCCTGGGTGTCAAGAACTGGGAACACCCAGAAGATACAATGGCTTGAGGGTTCAGGGAAGATGAGACTCACCATCACTGTTGACTATGGAGAGCAGCAATTTCAGGTAGTTTTGTGTCTGTTGCACCAGGTCCCAACTCTGTTGGACAAGATAAAGGAAAGGGGAATAGGGACATATTAACTCAGACTGGGAAGTATTTTAAAAATAAAACAGTGGCTGAGGGTATAGTTCAGTGGTAGCATGCACAAGATGCTGGGTTCAATTCCAGCACTGTAAAATAAAAAATAAATAAAATGCTAAGTGTTATTTTGGAGCAATGAGCACATAATGCTTTTGGTCTGCAGCCACAGGTCTCAAATTCCAGATAATCCAAGATGCTCTTCCCCCAGCTCCGAGAGCTCCTTGCACTCCCTTACTCTGTTGCATCCAAATCAACTACAACATGTCTAACCTGCTCTGAGGGCAAGGAAGGGGAAGGACAGACCCACAGCCCCCTGTACTTTAGTGTTCCCTAAGTCTCAGGTGCCCAGCATAGGTGTCAATGAAGGAATATGAAGAGCTTTAAGCCTATGGCCAATATCTCAAATGGCCAGGCAATTTTTCATTTGCCATCATATCACAGGAACCAACTAGAATATTAACCTTCTCAAACATGTTACATGCACTTTTTACTGCTATTTGCTGCAAAGTCTGTGTATGTGTGTGTGTTTTTTTTTTTTTCCTTGCAGTGCTGGGGATTGAACTAGGGGCCTCCTGCATACCAGGCAAGTACCTTAATGCTGAGCCACGCCCCCTGCCCTGCATATTGTCTTCTGATGAATAAACACAATCTGTTTAGCAGACAAGACCTTTTCTAATAGGAGGCCCTTGAGGTAGGAGATGAGAAATGAGCAAAAACCATAAAGAGAGCAGAGCCCAACTCAAGTCCAAGCCAGAGCTCTAGACCAGGCAATGTGAAGCAGCCCACTCCCAATCTGGGATTTCACTGAGGGGGCTGACCCAGTTCTGCAAAGCCATTTTCCCTGGCTGGGGACAGCCTCTGTTCTCTTAGGACATGACTGCCTATCAGCATTCTGGAGCTGTGCAGAGAGGGTGGCGCATGCCAGCAAGAGAGCACTTCCCAGGAGGAGGGGAACACGACACCTGTAATTGGAATGGTTTTCCCAGGAATTTAAACCAGGCTTATTGGCCTGACCCTCCCACGCCCCCGGAGAGTTCTGACCCACTTTCAGCAGTTCAGGAGACAGCTGCTGCAGCGCTGCATTAACAATGCCATTACTGGCAGGAGTACAAGGGTCTCCACTTGTCTGGCTCAATGTGTCAGACACACTGTTGCCAATAAATTCCTTTGTTGCTTGGATTCTCAAGAGGCTCCAGGAGCAGGAGTAGAAGGATAGAGGCAGGAGACATGCAGCACAAGGCCCGGCGTGTGTCAGGTGTGCTGGGGGGACTGCAGCAGCCAGGGCAGGGCAAGGCCAGAGGGCTGGAGCTCTGTGGACACCAATAACCACACCATGGTCAGGGAGAGGCAGAGGCAGCCTGTTCCCAGTTTGGTGGGAGGAGCCACAGGCTGGAGAGGCCCAAGGGCACAGAGCTGAGCTAAAGGAGGAAACCAGCCCCTCTAAACTCTGAAGTCCACATTCCAGTCACATCTACACTACAGGGACAGGTGCTACAATAACAGAGTAAGAAACTGAAGTCTGGGGATTGCTGCATACAAGGAGGGTCTGGAGATGTGCTAAAACCTAGGTTAACCTCTGACTCATCCCAGGTGATCCACCAGTCTCTGGGAGCAAAGCCAAGTAAGCACCATGCCTCTGCTTGTTTCTGTACTTGGAGTATCTTTTCTCCTGGCTGGAAAAACTCCTACTCACCCCTCAAAGAGCAAGCCCAATTATTTTCCCTATGGGGTTGCCTTCTGCAGACCTAGCCTAATGCATAAGAACCAATAGGGAGGGCCTTTTGGAGTTGGTGACATGGGAGAGCATAAGCAAGAGAAGAGAGAGGAAAAACATGTTTCTGACAAATAAAACAGCATATAAAACTCAGGGACAGCACCCTTCCTTTAATAAGCTCAAAGGAGGCCTTTCAATGAGGCAGGAAGAGAATTAGAGAGTCCTAAGAGCAAGCCAGGCCAGACTGCATGAAGCTGGCAGGTTACATGAAGGTCTTGAGGCTATATGCTGAGGTACATAGAAAGTGGTGGGTTTTTAAGTCGGGGTGACAACAATGGCCCTGCTCTATCATTTGAGTGCTTGCTATCTGCCAGATTGGCTCTCTCATTAGTACTATTCCTAGTTATTCCTCAATGCAACCTATGCTCAGATATGAGAGGTGACAGTGGCCTGGACTAGCCAGTGCACAAGAGACAGAGGTGGGGACCGAGGAGTTCCACCAGGTTCAACGATTTAGGGAACTGATGGGATGTGTCAATGGAGAGTGTCAACTCCTGGAGTGGATAATGGAGGTGGAGAATTAGAGTCCTGGGGCCCCAGTGCTGAGGCACAGAAATGGCCTGCACCTTGCTAAAGATGACAAGTGGCAGGAGGCCCAATGACACAAACTGGCTGGGCAGCACTGAAGAGGTGCCTCAGAGGAGGAAGCCACCTCCGCTACTTCAGCCCTGCAGCTTCCATGCCTAGAATTTTATTAGTGTCCACTCCCTCGAGTTAGCTASCTAGTGCTGGCTGCCTCATTACCATGAGAACCTGGTCTGGCATTTCAGAGCAAAGGACACTTTCACAGTGATCACATTTGGGCCTGGCCACATAGGTATCACCAACTCCACTTTCAGGGGAAAGTGAGGTCAATTGCTCAAGAGCTGAGCTGGCTGAGCAGAGCTTTGTCTACTAAGCAGAGCTCCTGCTCACACACACAAGTCTCCTTCCCAAAGAGGCAACACCCTTTGGCAGGACCCATGCTCGGAGCCCAGCAGCCACACCTTATTTGGTAAGTATCTCACCAGATCCAGTTTGCACCTGCATAAGGAGGGAAAATGGTGCCAGAGGGAAGAGGGCAGCTTGGGGAGGGCCTACCTGGACCTCTACATACAGTAAACAAAAAAGGAAACCTGTAGTTCCTTTGGCTGTTCAATCCTCTAGGCACAGTGTGGGACTTGAGACCAGGGGACAACCCTCCCCCACCCCCTAAATCTGTTCCTTCTCCAGGCTTCCAGACTGTAAGAAGGAACACTGGTCTGCTCTCCTCCCTGAGGCCCCTTCTCTTACAGAAATACCTATGAGGGGAGACCTGGCATCACTCTCCTGTTCTCAGACAGCTGTGAAGCAGCTACCCTGTGATATCCCGAGATAAGATAAAGACAGCCCCSGCCTTTCCAGACTCCCTGCCATCAGGATGACAAAACAAGAAGGTGTGGGGCAACTGGCTGCCTAACATGCAGCCCTCTCTGAGAAAGGAGACCTGGGGGCTAGGAGTTGGCCAGACATGGGGACAAAGGAATACGTAGGGAGGCAGGATGTTTCTACTGGGTCACTGGCTCATCCTTTCTCTAGGCTCTCTGCCTGTTTCTGTGCTGGGATGCATAAACCATGGGTCCCCATCCTCCTAGAGCTCACAGAAGCACATCTCCAATTTGGTGACTAAAGCTTGGTGGAAAATTCCATGATAGATGTTCCCAGGGGGGTTAATGAGAAGGTAGATGCAGGCATCCAACCTGCCAAGGATGGGAGAGAAAGGAGGCAGATCAGGAGAGTCCTCCTGAAGCTGTCACTGAGCCAAATCTGAAGGGCAGTATGTCAGCCAAACAAGAGGAAGCTGTGAGGGGACAGCCAGGCACAGGGACAGGATGTGGGGAAGGAAAGGCTACTTGTGCTGTCTGAAGTGATGGCAATCCAGACCACTGGAAGCGTTTAGCCTCTGTGGGCTCAACAGGGTGGAGAGACAGGTCTATCCAGCAAGACTAGGGCCCCTCTGTGGCAGGCAGCAACAGAGGAAAACATAATGGAAGTAATTTTAAAGTTTCTATAATCAAATGAGGTCAGGCGGCTCTGCTCTTTCGCTAACAAATTTTTTAAAAGGAAAAATGAAAAAAGTCACTAAAGCTCAAATCTGGGGGGGGAAAAAAAAGCAGACTCTATGAGATCCCCTGGAAACAGAACTCCTGGTAGATCCAAATCTTTCAATGAGTCAYGTTCAGAAAGCTTTGATTTTCTGGGCCAAGAGCAAACCAGGAGAGAGAGAGTTAACTGAGTGCAACTCCTCCTTTCCTGGGCTGTGAGACAGTCAGGTGCCAGCATTATCTCCACAAGAGTCTTGTGGGGCAGGCCCAGGGGTCCCCTGACTACCCCCCACCCCCTTATCCTGCCTGTTGGATCAGGCCCCTCACCTGATACAGGGTCCAGTCAATATTCAGAGGGTGAGTCAGGAAATCGGGGATGCTCAAGGGGGCATCGACGTAGTCCTAGGGACAGAATGACACCTGTGAGACATAGACTGGCTCCCCAAGAGGCTGTGATAACAGAAAGGTCATGGCCCTAAAGCTGTGATACCACATGAAGGATGTTCCTCCACAGTGCTAGCCTTCTCCTGGCCAGAAGCATACGCTATTCTGGAACTGACAGTTTAAAAATCAGAGTGACCAGATCTCTGCAGCTGAGCGGAATGCTTCTGTCAGGCATTTATAAAAGTTGGCTGCTGAAATAAGCAAGAATAATCTATATTCAATCTCCATCAAGTTTCCTGGGCCTGCTGCTCCTGACTGGAGAAAAAACAGAACTCTGCTCTCTGCCCTTACAAAGAGAGTGGAGGAGAGAGGGACTTTTCTATCTTATCCTGATCAAGAAAGAAAGACATTAAGAGGAAAGAGGAAAGCACAGATGGAATGTWACATGCATATACAAAGAGAAGACGAGATATAATGAGACTCATTTAGGGAAGAAAAGAGAAAGGAGAAAAGAGAAAAGAGAAAGGAGAAAGTCTTCCTTTACAAAGAAACATAAGAYCCAAATTGAACAACGTTGTTCATACCTGCTTCCAGTTAAATATGAGCCCTTCGGCCATGTAATCCCGATCCTTATATTCCTTGAAAAATTCACAGCCTGGAAAAGAAGGGCAGAGTCACAACACCTCCTGTCCCAGCACAGAGTCTTCTGAGACATTGCTGGCCAAACCATGGCCTTGACTGCTGAGAGACTGAGGGGTCAGCAGCTCACACAACTCTTYGTGCTGGTGGCTCTGGTGAGGTCAAAGCTGCTGGCAGTGAAAGCAAGAGTGGGCAGGCAAGAGCCAGGAGCAGGTCCCGGTGTCCTTCCACAACACACCACCTGCCCTCATACTTCTTTGGAACACTCTCTGCATCTGTGTTCAAGGGCATGGTTGCTCTCCCTCACTGAAGGTCCGTCTGTCCTACAAGTGTCTGCAGTGCCAACCCCAGCAGACAAAAGCCTGGCTCTCAATGGGAGCCTCAGAGACACATGTCAGCAACCACGCAGTATTCTTCATCTCTACAATGGGGACAACCTCACAGGTTTTAGTGTGGTATGTCCTGATATACTGGACAGATTGTGGACAGTGGACAGTGCCTGAAACCTAATAGGCAGAGACACTTCTACCTCCATTTAAGTAGGCAGAGGTACTTTCTGCACAATGTGCTAGAAAAATCCTGAGAAACTCCACAAGGGCAAGGCTCCAGAATAGAGGGGAACTTTGGTGAGAATGGGGCTTTGGCAGAATCCCAACTTTAAATCTCAGCTTTTCACCCAGCCCTGTAACTATGAATAGCTGGAATAACATCTTCCAAGACTTGGTTTCCATATTTGTAAAACAATCAAGGAAGAAAAACAACAATACATATAAAACAGTGAGCACTGGCCTGGTACAAATGGCATTTCCACGGAGGCACACCACTGTCACCATGTTGCCACTGTAAAGCCCACAGAGCCAGCCCAGCAGTATAGTCAGATGCATAGCCGGAAATGAGGTTTACCCAGCTTCRGCTTGCCCTTGCACAAGGGGCAGCTAGGCCACCAGCTGGCTGCTGCCTATACAAAGGCATAGGGAGGGAGAAGGCACTGGGGAGCAGCCTCTTGCAATTACTCTCAGTTCCTCAACTAGGGCCCACACGGACTTCAGGGGATACATGGCTTTGGAAACACTGCCAAGTCTGGTGAGATCTCAGAAGGCAACTGAGAAATTGTCTCAATTCTATAGAAGTGGCCACAKAGCAAAGCAATCCATGAGTACCTCTACAGCAACTCTTACGCTGTGTTTCTGTGCCTCAGGGAAAATGGACGGGTCCCTATGGAAAGGAAGGTCTGGGGACCCACCCGTGTATTCAGCACCGCATTCATTCCACACACACTGCTTCACTCTAATCCCCCAGGCCTCATGCTGTCTGAAGAGTCAAGAAATAATTTTCAGCAGTAACACTTCAGCCTATTCTGTGGTGCCTCACCCGGACAAAGAAGAATTATAAATACCAGAYAAAGCTTATGAGCCCAGGCTGAGAAGAGTTACCAATTATCTCTCAGGGCCCAGTGAAGTGCTCTGTTTTTCCCAAACTCTGGCTGCTCAAATCAACACTGCAGGCCCTAGGCTGAGCTCAGAAGAGCCCATGATGCAGAAGCAGTTTCTGAGAAAACAGAATTAAAATAGACTTGGTACTTAGGGCAGTGCTTGATGTTTATTACCAGAGCAGCTTCTGAATGCACCAGCAGGCCAGAGGGAAGGGACGAAGAGCAGGGTGACAGCAGYAATTTACTCAGGAGGAAATGAAGTAAACTTGGGCAGTAAGGTTTGGCCCCATTTATTTTGGTGTCTAGAAGGAAGTATACTCTCACCACTTCTCATTTCCAAGGGCAAGTCTTAGTCTAGATGAGTTACACAAAGCCAGAACTGATACTATTGCAATTACTACAGGCCCCACTGAGACTCCTTAAATGGCATCAAAGTCCATTTCATGACTTGGTTTTGGTAATGTTAATTTTGTTTTGTTTTCTTTCATTTTTCTTTTTTTGGCAGTGCTGGGGATAGAACCCAGGGCCTCCCACATGCTAGGCATGTGCTCTACCAGTGAGCAATATCCCAAGCTCCTCTTCTTTTTTTAGTTTTGGTTTGAAATGGGATTTTGCTCTTAAGCCCAGGGCCTTATAACAGCTGGGCAAGTGCTCTACCACTGAGCCCATAAGGATTATGAAACAAACATGTTCCTGGTTTTATTATCATGATGAACACCTTTAGCCCCAAATCAATGGGATTATGGCCTAATAATGAATGATTAAGAAAATAACTGGGCTAGGTGTGCTGGCATACACCTGTAATCCCCAGTGACTCAGGAGGCTGAGGCAGGAGAACTGCAAGCTTGAGGCCAGGCTGGGCAACTTAGCAAGACCCTGTCTGATCAAAGTAAAAAATAAAAAGGATTGGAAATGTAACTCAGTGGTAGAGCAACCCTGGGTTCAATCCCTAGTACTGTCAAAAAAGAAAATAAATAAGTGGCTGCTTTTCAGCTGCCATGAGTTGAGCAGTTTTCCTCCACTATGTCTTCTGCTATGATGTTCTGCCTCACTTCAGACCCACAGCAAAGAAGCTGCCTGATCATAGACTGAACCTCTAAAACCATCAGCCCAAAATAAACTTTTCACCTCTAAATAAAACAATAATAACAACATCATCAAAAAAAAAAAAATACCTGAGTCAAAAGTTGTTAACATTTGGGGCATTTTGTAACAAGTTGCCAAACTACAGCAAAAATAGTACTGCACTATTTTTCTGTATTTATACCTCTAGCAGAACTATTTTTCCTAACCAAGTCCTATGTGGAACTAAAATAAAAATTAAAAAGCATGCCTGGATCCTCAAGCAGCACAACCCTTTTGCTTACAGAGGATAGATCAGGCTTGGCATCCATTAGGCTTTCCTGGGAGTCAAGTATGAAAACCTGAGGGCCTGGTGCACACACTCACCTTCTGCCAGTGTGGCTCTGACACCACTAAGCCCACTTCATCACCATCTCAATCTACATTGGGCCAAAGTCACTTTTAGGGAAGAGAAGGTTTCTGGAGACTTTCTTCCCATTTTACTGTTATTTGCTGAGCATCTGTTAAGACAGGACAGGCACTTTACTCTGAAATAAGTGCCATTATCCTCATGCTATGAAGGATGAAACTGAAACTCAGAGATGTTCAGGGCCTCATTCAAGGACACAAGTGCCAGGCCAGCCATCATGCCCAGYCTTTCATGGTACCAAATACTAAACTGGTACATAAAAGTTATGAGACCTAGGTGGAGCCACTTTAAGGGTACCAGGCCACCAGGGGATGATTCTGAATACCACCAACTTGCACTGGATGAGGATGCTCTCCCCTACAAGGCACTATATGAACCTGTAGTTCTTAATGAGGCTGTCGCCAGCCTGCCGTTGCTGTGGCTCCAAGATTGAGGAGATGAGGTATAAGCCAARACTGAAGCCAGTGCTGAGAAACAGGACAGAGGTTCCAAGGAAGAAGCACACTTTGCTGTGGGCTCAGTTGTGCACTGATGCTCTGGCTCCTTGGCCCCCCTTGCTGAACAGGCATGACTGTCTAGAGAGCTGCAGTGATCCAATTTGGCTTTTGTCTCCAATACAGAGAATGCAGCCCTGGCCACAGCGGGGCATGCACTCTTCAACAAAGCACATGCAGCTTTGTTGACACCAGAATGCTTTGCAGGATGAGGAGACCACTGTACGGTCACTGGGGACACAGAGCAATTACGTGTTCCTGCACCGTCAGTACAGCTTTGCCTGAGTCATGTGAACATTTGCTGATGTACTAGTAATGTTACATGTGCTTCAATAGTACTTTATGTGCACAGAGCACTTGGATATGCATAATTTAATCTTTCCAACAAACCCCTGAGCTAAACCTTTCCAAGTTTCAACTATCACTTGAGGCTCAGAAAGGTGAAGTAATTTGCTCAAGGTTGTGGCTACTGAGCACCACTGCCAGGACTCGCATCCTGGACCCCATGGGKAAAGTTCCTTCCAGGACACCATCACACTGTAAGTGTGAGTACATGTAAATGGGTGCCAAATGTCCACAGTGGCTAACACAAGTTCCCCTGGAAAGCTYCCAGGATACCAATGTATATAAGAATAGAAGGCTTGCTTCTGGCTTCTGAGGGTCCCGAGGCCTGGGAAGCTTGTCCCTTGACTAGAAAAGGGCTTCCCTACCTGGATACGGGATGGAGAGGAGAGTGAAGTCGGCATACCGCTGGGCTTTGTCCACCTTCTCGGAGGAGGTTACACTAAAGGACAAGGACACAATGAGTTATGGTCACAACACACAGACACACACCTTTCCTTAAATGAATATTTAACAACCTAAAATGYACCTTGTGCTAAAAAACAATTCTTCAGAGTTAAGAATCATTCCCCTCAGCAGTGCTTACTTTGAAAAATGAAAAAGCCTTACTTCCYTGCCCTGACTCTAACATCTCAGTGAGAGCTCCCTCTCCTTCCAACACTGCAGCAAACTTCAATCACAACCAGAGGTTGCAAGACCACCTTCCACACATGCCCCATGAACATGAGTGGTAGGGCAGAGGGAGATGAGAGTCAAATAAGGTTGCCATCCCAAAGGGATCCGTTGGGGAAACCCTCTGCTCTACTGCCTTCTCTAACTTTCACTAAGGCCATTTTTAAACAGAGTGAACAATGGCACCTGAAAAATCACTGGGGACCATCTGACAAAGGGTGGAGGCAGGTAGGGCAATATGTCCTTAGGAAGCTGAACTCAGACTTGAGCATCAGTGTCACTTATTTTCTAAGACCTTTTAGGAGAATTAAAAGATATTTGGAAAAAAAAAGTTAAACAAAATTTTTTAAAAAGAAAGATAGAGAGAGAGAGAAAGAGAATTTTTTAATATTTATTTTTTAGTTTTCGATG